AGCTTTACCTATCTTTTAAAAATAACCTGTCCTAAAGTGAATTCATCAATTACTTCTTTCATTTCAGCAGTGGTCTGCCCCACAAGTGTTTGTTAAATAGCCCAAGGTGAGAGACAATGGGCACCTAGGTGAAGTGCTTCTTAATGTTGGTGGAAAAGGTGAAGAGGACAAAGGGAAAATGTACAAAGCCTCATAATGCACAGGCTGGAGTTGACATATGTCACTTCCACCCATGTGCCATTGGCCAAGTCAGTCACACAGTCAGGTCCAAAGTTACTAGGTAGGGAAATACGCTCTGCCCATGATAAGGCTCTGGCAAGGGTACAGATCCAAGAAAGCTGAAACATTGGAACTGATACTGCCCGAAGGTGGCAACATCTATCACCTTGTTTAAAAGAATCTTTAGACTTACCAGATATGGCTCAATGGTGTAGATTTTATACCTGTAGGTATAAAGGTGATTGGAATCTAAAAAGGATTATTTATAGCATAGCACTGAATATTATTTGGGATGTCTTAACGGCTGGAAGGCTTAGGCATACCCAGGCAAAAGCAGTTTATTGAGCAAATTGTTTGGTCAATTCATTGATCCCCCAAAATTTATGGCTTGAGATTTTATACTACAACCTCCCACGTAGTAGGTGAGGAGGGTAGCCTGGAGAGATCAAAAAAAGTAACGGGCCATAATTACACTGAGTTTTGTCACCTGCTGCTCAGTTGTCTCTGTTCTGCTGGATCCTGTATTTTGAATTCTGTTCTATAGACTAGCGCTGTCCAAAAGAATTTACTGTGACGATGTTGTGAAAGTTCTATTTTACACTGTCTGATATGGTAGCCACTAGCCGCACAAGGTCTTTGGGTATTTGAAAAGTGGCTAGTGTAGTTGAGGAACTGAATTTCTAATTTTATATAACTTTATTTAAAATTATGTTTAAATAACCACATGTCTCTGCTGATGCCCACGTTGGACCGAATGTTTGGACTCAGAATGAAGATGCTAAAACCACTCTAATTCAGAGCCTCCTAAGTGGCATATGGGATTTCAAAGGAAACACATCTCGGATAAATAGTTCTACCACATCGTTGAGGGAAGTAAGAAGCCCATATTTGGTCGGGCAAAGCAAGTCATGTGGCTGCACTTAAGGGCAATACGGAGCCGGAAGTGAAATCCTTCCATAGATCAAAGTCGAGTATATAAGAAATAGAATCTTCTTCCTTCTTTCTCCTTCTCTTCTTTCCCTTTCTCTTCCCTCCCCCTTTCCCTCTTCCATCTTCCTCTTCCTCCTCCTTCTCCACTCCTCCCCTTCTCCTCCTTCAAATGCACTTAATTTGAAGTCTCTTCTTATTTAATTTCTGGCAATTCGGGGCTTCTGTATGCCACATCTTGGCCGTGGCTTTCTTTCTTGTCAACTTCGATCCCAGTGGCAAAAACACCCAGCTCGTTCAGGTACTTTTGTATACCCTCATGGTATACAAACCCTTGCACATGGCTTGGTGCAGGGAACTCTGGAGTCACCTGAGGACTGGGGTTAGGGACTTTGGGCACTCCACATGGGTATCCTTACTGCCCCTGGGCCTTCAAAGGCGCAGGGTCTCTGTGAGCTTTGCCACTACTAGCCTTCCCATGGAAGAAGTGATGCAAAGGTCCTGTACTACAGCTTCCTGATAGAGTTACCTCCAGCCTCCCTGAACCAAACTGAAGTTTGTTTTTTTTTTTGACCATGGGAAGGAGCCAGGAGCAAGTGATCTTCCTTAGAGGTATGCTCTGTAGTAGTCAGCTCAGACTTGATTATGCTGCTATAACAAATAATCCCCAGACCTCTGACTTATAACCACAAAGGTATTCTTTTTCATCCCCGCTGGATGGTTGTGACTCTGATCCACGGCAGCCCTTAATGGGGTCATTGCTGGTCGTAAGGCAGACTAAAAAACGGAGGGGGGAGGATCACAAAATGACTCCTACCAATCTGCTCAGGAGCGGCACCAATCACCCTGTGCATGTTCTATGTCCAAAGAGAATCGCATGATCGATCTTGACCTCATCGGGAAGGTGAAGTATAATCCCTTTTCATAGGTACAGGCAGCGAAATTTTGAACCATAACCAAATCTGTGCAGGAGTCACCTCCTTTTCCTTGCCCTCTCTCCCCTTCCACTCCCCTATCATCATCTTCAACACCTCACAGCCTGGAAATTCTTTATCTAGAAAAGGCAGGATGGTGTGTTCTTCAGACTCAACCATTTTTGGTATGGACTATTAAAGTTCCAAAGCCTGTATTCCTGAAACTCAAAGACGCTTTTCTTTAAAAAGTCTATTCTCACACGTGTTTCTGAAGCCTGCTTTGAAAGATCAGATGAGTAGACCTGACACCCCTTTCTCTTTTTTCTGCACTGTCATCCCGTCCCTGGGTAGGAAGGAAATAAACATGAGCTGCTTCCTAAGTGGAGGAAAATCTCATAGGAGAACAGGAAATATGTAAAGAAGCCATCCGTTAATAAAAAAAAAAAACAACAACACTCTAGCAGGGTAGGCTGTGTTTGTGGATAAGTAGAAAGTCCCCTTTTAGAACTGAAATGTCCCCGGATTGAAGACAGACTGACACGATTTTGGAATTGTCTTACAGAGTTCCCTAGTACTAGTGTTGTCCAATAGAGCTTTCTTTTTTTAAAGATTTTATTTATTTATTTGAGAGAGAGACAGAGAGAGCACGAGGGAACAGGAGCGGGGAGGAGTGGGAGAAGCAGGCTCCCCACTGAGCAGGGAGCCCATTGCGGGACTTGATCCCAGGACCGTGGGATCATGATCTGAGCCAAAGGCAGATGCTTAACTGAGCCAAAGGCAGATGCTTAACCAACTGAACCACCCAGGCACCACCTCCCCCCCACCGGTAGAACTTTCTGAGAGGATAGGAATATTCTATATTAGACTGTCCAGTACAGCCCGTGTGGCTATTAGGCACTTATGATGTGGCTAGGATGACTGAGGAATTAAATTTTTAATTTCATTTAATTTTAATTAATTTAAATTTCAATAGCCGCCTGCGATTGGTGGCTACTGTATGGGACAGTGCAGTTCTAGATGTTAGAGATAGTGTTGCTAAAAGTCATACAGTGACTTTTACTATCTCTTATTTATACATTTAAATACCATGCTGTGTCTTGGTTGTTAAAAATATCTCAAAGTGGACGTAATGTCAGTTTGCATAAAACTAAGCAAATCATGCCTTCGCTTATTAATTGGCTGGAGCTGCCTGACCTAATAAGCAGAGGCTAAATTCACAATTAATTAAAGATCTCATGTTCATTCAGCCAAGACTTGCCTCAAACCATCTTTTGTTCAGCAGGCCAGCAAGATACTTTGAACCATATTTAGGACATCTTGCAACTATAATCAACATATGCAAAATACACCACTGCAAAAAAGTTCTTTCATTTATCAGATTAGTAATTCTGTTGTAGGAATGGCATTCTGCTCTATTATGCTAACTATAATCATATTTGTAGTAAACGAATATGACATAATGTACTACATAGAAATGTATGTTATTTAATTAGTGGTAATTTAGCAAATAGTTCTCTATCTTTGCTACCTACCGGGCAATATTATTTCTCTATTAGAGATGGGAAAACCAAGGCTTACAGAGATTATGTAATTTTTTCCAAAGGTTATATAATTGGTGTTTAGAAGTCCAATATACGAACTCTTATCTGATCCAAAGCCCCTACCACCCGACTACTTGACAGGGGGATGATAAAACCTAATTGCAATCACCTATCTTTTTCCTAAGGCTGGAGCCTGCACAAAGAAGGTCAGGACCCCTTTTCAAGGAGCCAACTGATGCCAATGGGAAACTGCTGTGTAGACTGTTCCAGGCCTGCCACAGCTGATGCCCCTTGGTCCCCCGGAGGTGCAAGGGAAATGGGTACAGTTATGAGACTGGAATCTAAGTCATACAAGAAAGTTGCCCCAGTCAGTCTGGTTCCATAGGCACGGTAGGTAACACTATTCTTTTTTTTTAAGATTTTATTTATTTATTTATTTATTTGACAGAGAGAGAATGAGAGAGCACATGAGAGGGGGGAGGGTCAGAGGGAGAAGCAGACTCCCTGCCGAGCAGGGAGCCCGATGCGGGACTCGATCCCGGGACTCGATCCAGGGACTCCAGGATCATGACCTGAGCCGAAGGCAGTCGCTTAACCAACTGAGCCACCCAGGCGCCCCAGGTAACACTATTCTTACACCCTTCTTCTATTTTGGCTCTGGTTACCTCTTGTGTTTGGTAAAAATTAAAGGACGAAACTTCTGGGATGCATGCTATGCTCGGTCAGGCCCTGGGCCCGAAGCTTAACTGGGCACCTCAACAAGTATCAGGTGGCCTTATGCAATTTTATGAGCCACGTACCCGCCTGCATAAATCTCCTTCCTGTGAATTCAAAACAGCCATGCCTCACATTCACTTAAAATACAATGGAAGACAGATGCTCACTTTCCTTCTTTGCTGTTGTAGTCTTGGTTCCACTTTGCTATTGTTAAAGCATCGAAACCTTTCCCTTCCTGGAGTGCTACAGTGCAAAGCATTCCTCCCCACCCGCCCGCCCGCCGAGCACCTCGGTCCTTGCAAACTTTGCACGCGGAAAGGTGGGCAGCGGGGC